CTCTTTCCACACAGTTTCCATACTTGTCAATTTGATATGTACCCAAACTTTCGGAATGTGGATTAACTTCTTTCACTTGATTATCAACCCTGGATTAAAAAAAATTAATAATAATATTTAAAAAATATCTTGACAAATATATAAAGATGTATTAGTCACTAACGAATCAACATGCTTATTCTTCACATTTTCAGGAAGCCCTTGGCCTTGGGCTTGTACAATCTAATAGAAATAATACAACTTATTTTCATATTTATTTTTAAGCCAAAATACAATACTCACTTCTCCCATTGTGTCATGATGTTTGTGAGCATCATGCCGTCCGTGCTTTGCTTCATCTTTGTTTGGCGATGCTCTATAAAAAAAAAAAAAATTAAATATCAGTGAATCTAAACTAAATAAGTGTGAGACACACCCTATAGGGGTTGAAAAAATAAGTTAAATAAATAATATATTTTCCCTGAATTTTTAGAAATTAATTGATCTAATCTGTTGAAAACGGTACAGTATTTTCTGAGATTATAACAGACAAAACAACTGAAAATCAGACAAATATTAATTTGTATGTATCATATATATTTATATAATACAATATGTATTAAGATGGAATATAATATGTATTATGATTTGAATTTAATTAGGTATAAAGATTAATTAATTGGGTAAAATAAATCTCAAACTTAAAAAAAAAACCATCAAAATATCTATGATGTTGACTACTATTAGGTATATTATAATAAGCATTGGGCAATTGTAGTAGTTGGTTCATGGTTTCATGTTTTTTTTTCAGCTATTACTGTGAAGTTGTAACTTGTAAGTAAAAAGTATTCCACATAGACATTTAGTAATTCCAAGTAAATAATAGTAGGTGCCTACACTAGCAGAAAAGTTTTCGTAAAAGCCACCGGACTTCCACGGATAATCGAAGATGGCCGCCGTCGGCAGGTCGTAGGTGGTAGTTCAGGTGGGCGTCGAAAATAATAATATACCCAATAATGAGAGTAATACACACAGGACTTACGAGAATATTCAACTCACCCGTCATTCTGGCCTCCGGAGTTCATGATACGATGCTCGATATGGATCTTGTCAGTGAATATTACACTTCAAGAAGAAATTATTTCAATTTGAACCGGTGGCGGGAGAGAATCGCGTAAGACGACTACAAACACCAAACACTGAAGCACCTACTGAGGCAGTCAACCGACTACCGAGCGAATTGACCATGAAATATTATGAATATTATTGTCCATGATACCACGACGCTGACGTCACGTTCGAAACAAATGCATTGGACTTACCGATTATAACGWTGCGCGTTTAAAGATAATACTATCYATCTAGTATCTTTAATCGTGCTTTACGAATTATAACACAATAATAATACGTGGGCGCCAAAATCAAACCATACAGCCGGCGGTTGTTTCCAGCGGCAGCGTGAACTAGGTATTTTATTTCATGAGACAAAAGTTACGAACCAATCCATTTCTCGATAATGTAACGTAAAGTACCTAATATTTACCCAGGTACCTACGTATGTCGTATGTGAGTATGTGACTATATGACTCATATACTCATATACTTATATAATATAAGTGTAAATTATAAACTAGTCATCTGGACCCTGGAGTCATTGGGATACCCACCACCACATTTGCATGAGACCACCGCCTCGTAAAATAGCTATTCACACCGCCACTGGTTGTTTCTATCATGSGACGAGTATCGYGGTACTGATGATTGCCTTGAACTATTTTATTTCACGAGGCAAATATAGATGTTCGACCACCACAACCTAAATCTTATAGCACAGACCACGGA